TCATTTTAGTTATATTGTTATTTCTGAATTTAGTTGATTTTTAGTTTTATTTTTATTTTGTAGGGCTTATTGGACACTGTCAGATTCATAATTAAAGAACGTTACTTAGATGATGACAATAAATAAAGTGTGGCTGGCACTAGTTCTGGTACTATCACACATAGTACAGTTAGTCTCAGTTCTAGAACCATTGTCCACCAATATACTGAAGACTCTTTGTCCTTCAGATTCATTTCATGTGGAGAAGAGCATCCACAGCCTCAGTACAAGATGCGACAATTTAATTCCCAGAATGGCTGCACTGTGTCACTGGGGTGTTGTGTCAGGCAAATTCATGTACCCAAGCACTTTTGGACATGTTTCAGCTTGACCAAATGAGTCATTTGTTCCAAAGAAGCAGAGGAAGTAGTATGTGTCCGTGGTATCCTGTAGGCAGAAAGATGAGTGACAAGAATTTGGAGCAGTGGATAAACATCAAGTTTTGTATTGAAGATTGGTAAAAGTGCTAGTGAAATGTTAGCCCTATTAGCATACGGTGAATGTGCTGTGAAGAAATCGGGTGTTTTTCAGTGGCATAGGCAGTTGAAGGAAGAGCAAGAGGATGTGCAAGATGATCCAAGAAGTGGGGAGTCAAAAATGCAAAGGACATACGCAGATGTGGTCAGAGTACAAACCTTGGTGTACTCAGATCGAAGATTAGGCGTGAGTCTAATAGCAGAAGAATTGAATATGAATAGGAAAACTGTGACTGATTATTACAGATGATTTGGGAATGAGAAAAATTTCTGCAATGATAGTCTTGAATCTTGACAGAAGACCAGAAACAGTGTCATCTTCACATTTCATCTGATCTTTCACACAATGCAGAGATGTTTGATAGGGTCATTACCGGTGATGAAATGTGGTGTTTCAATATGAGCCGGAAACAAAACGCCAGAGTATGCAGTGGAAAACACAGAATTCACCTCGGCCAGAAAAAGGACATGTCTCACTCGCAGTTCAATACCACGCTTGTGTGTTTCTTCCATCACAAGGAGTAGTTCACTATGAATTCATCGCAGAAGGACAAATGGTGAATCAACAGTGTTATTTGGAAGTGCTGACCAGGTTATGGGAATCCGTTCAGAGGAAAAGACCCGAACTCTGGCCTGACAAGTGGATTCTACACAATGACAGTGTCCCTGTGCATCATGCGTTAAGAGTTTACAAGTTCCTGGCTAAGAAATCCATCACAAAAATGGACCATCCACCTTATTCGCCTGCGTTAGCCCCCTGTGATTTTTGGCTCTTTCTAAAACTAAAAAGTGCCCTAAAAGGACAAAGATTTGCTGACATTTTTGATATCCAACCCAACGTGACATTACTGTGAGGTATTCTGGAAATCGATTTTCAAGACTGTTTCCAGCAGTGGCACCATCATCTCATGAAGTGTATAGCTTCACAAGGAAAGTATATAGAAAGTGACAGCAGGCGCGAGTGCACAGGTAAACAAATTTTGCTTTCACAGGGCCATTCCTGGAATTAAATTGTTGTACCTTGTATGTTGTTTATGGTGACAAACTGACAAACCAAGCTGTGGTTCCAAGTAAGCTGAAGAGACACCTTCACACAAACCACTCATAGTTGGTTGAGGCACCATCCTGCAAGCCAGAAGGTCGTGGGTTTGATTCCCAATGAGGTTGGATTTTCCAACAAACATAATCCTTCCAGCTGCACTTTGGCTCTAGTGCCAACTCAGCTTCTGGCAGAAATGAGTACCAGGAATCTTCCAGGGGGGTAAAGGGTGGTCGGCACATAAGGCTGACAGCCTTACTGCCATCTGTGAATCGATTGTCAAAAAATGTGGGAGCCTTGAAATCCCACAACCCTATGGGGCTCCATGGCCTGTTACAGGGATGCCTTATACATGGCAGTTGTTACTGTTGACTGTTCCACACACGCACACACAGATCAGTGCTTCACCAGGAAAGCAAATCCTGTTGAGGTGGGTCTCATCCTCTTCAGTGCAGCAAAGCATTTCTTAAGCAGACAGTTTCTTGAATGCCATTCTGTGTGTATCATCTTCTGCACCAGCTTCAGTTGGTGCCTGTGATCATGCAATTTTAGTCTGTCTTGCAAAATGCCATCCACAATTGAGCAAGGCAGATCTAATTCTAAACTTGCCCAGCGAACAGACTTTTGTGGGGGGCTCTGAAATATTTTGTGTGTTCAGCATTAACCTAGAACACTGTGCAGCTTGGAGGCCCATTTTCTCCCAAGACCCTCCCTGTCTCTTTCAGACACTCATCCCAGTGCATCACAGATGTGCAAAATCAGTGCCACTCAGCTTGAAGTGGCATTGATTGTGTGTGTGTGAGTTAAATTCTGCCACCCACAAACAGAGTCCACTTCTACCACCTGGAGTACATTTTATTTTTTGCTGAAGCAAAATGGGACAAAATGGAGCCGTTGCACATATGCGCGCACACACACACACACACACACACACACATAGTGAGAGAAGGTGACTTGACCAAGCAGGAGAAACATGGGAAGTTACTACAGTGTTCACAGTGTACTATCTGTTTTCATTTCCCATATGTAATATTTCATTGTACTGACATTTAAGGCCAGACACTTTGTATTATCTAACTCCTTTGAGAACTGTTCACAATATCTTGTAGGAGCTCTGTATGCACCCAGAATATATGTGATTAATTTAGATTCCAATTTTGTGGCACAGCAGTCTATTGCTTACAGTGAAGCAATATTTGCCTGCTTACATTTTATGCTTATTGTGACAGTAATACTTACTCCATTTGTCAAAGCTTGTGTGCAGAAGCTAGGTCCTGAAGTATAATTTTTAAGATTGACCCATAAGATTTTTGGTACTTTCATACAGTCTTTTTGTTAAATATACAGTGTTGTGACTCATGTGCCCATTGCTAAGCAACAGCTTGATAAACACCATCCTGTGGAGGTAGATTCTGGGTAAATAGCCCTTTGCTAGATAAAGCCTACAACAGTAGATGTTCATTTCTAGGCAATGGATGTGTTTTCCGTGAGGTCCGACACGAAGCTATATAACAGTGGCTCTGGCTGACAATCAGGCACCCGTCTGGGGCTCGACACCAAGACTTACTGACTGACTGACCGTCAGTCNTGACAATCAGGCACATTGTGACTTTGATTTTGACTTTGACTATGAGTGGTCCATTTGGAACAGAGAGAGTAGAGGGTAGTGTCATCAGAAGTACAGAGTGTCCATTCAGAGATACTGATTTTTAAAATGTAACAAGTTGTATAAAGGTCCAATAAATTCAGTCATCAAATTCAAAACCCATTTTTATAAGTCATGCAAACCCCAGACACATGACAATATGAATGATGTTCATCATTGACAGAAATTAATAGTTCACCAATTTTGTTTGAAAAGAAAATTGTTCATGTAGTAAATTGTAAGATTGTTATTATGGTTGTATTAAAAATTTTGTATTTGTTTATATGCAGTGTTGTAGAACTGTTGAAATCTCTGACTGTGGAGCCTTGCCATAGAACTACTTCTAGAAATACCAAGGCTACTTGGGGGTAAAGCCAGTTGCAAAGAAGAACTTAATTTCTTGAAGTGAGCTTTGAATGAAATATTTTCTATGAAATCCTGTTCTTCCCTCTAAGTAGTGGTGTATCACACTTGATGCCAACAATTTAGAGAAATGCCATTCTGATGAACTGTGTGCTCATCCCTTCACCTGTAACAAGTTTGATGCAAGTACCACATGTCTGTCTATTACTAAGTGGCTAGTAAATGGTGTTCACATTTCGATTTAAAGGGTTTGAGGGTCTTCACATTGCATTTATATTTAATCATGCCATGATGTCATGAATATTATCATTTATTTTCACTGTGGAAAAACTTTATGCATTGAGCAAAAGTGTGTGTGTGTGTGTGTCTGTATATTGTTGCATGTTGCCTATGTAATGTGACAAGTAAATTGACGTGGGTTTCGGATGTGGCTAAGACATTTATTCAATAATCTCTTTTACACTTGCAAGTACGATTATTCACAACTTCACTACCCGAATTACTTGCACCGCTGATCTTCATGAAGTCTTCTGTCCTTTGTCGGATGCGAGCTAGCTTCTACTGTAGTCAGAGCTACACTGAAAACCAGGGGCTCGTGACCAGATATTTATTGCTGCTTGACAGTTACGGTCTTGTTCCTGTGGGGCGCCCTCTCTGATGAGAGGATGGGTCTGTATTTTGTATATGCTGCCGGTCCTTGCCAGCAGAGTCTCTTTCGGGTCCAAGTCCCTTGGAATTCATGACCATATTTTACTGTCTCAGATTTGAGACTTCCCTTTTCATCGCCTCCTACGACTTGCAGGGTCACGGTGGAGGTATTCCACATGCAAAAACCGACTGGTCTCGTCGAAACTGGACTCATATAACATGCAGTTGGAGTGACTAGTGAACATCATGTTCAAGGGTTCCATTTTATACGCTGGTAGTATTCATTCCCATGGATATCCTTTCATTTCTTGGGAAATGCTTTTGTTGTTTAAGTGATTCCTAGGCAACGCCCTGCTGGTATTCCAGTCCCACTGAAATATGCATGTTTATCCCAGCCATTGTCGTGCAACTGCCTCGAACAATTCGTTGCTTAGGTTTGCTAGCATTCGGATTCCAAGGCGTTGCAGTGGGAACGCTGGTCGTTGCCTAGGAAATCAACTCATCTCCTCAACCATTCCGGCTTTCTGGTGGCCCACCACAAAATATATATATATATATATATATAGGTAAAAAATGCTGAAGTGTACAATTATCTACAGGTTCAAATGGCAACCCTACCTCACCGCAGTCTCTACACTACATAAGCACAGCTCCAAATGCTTATGAGCAGGCTATCCAAGCTGTTGGGGGTATCATCCAGGATTATGATTCAGACAAGCTGTTCCCTGTGCTTGGGTTTGGAGCTAAACTCCCACCAGATGGGAGGGTGTCACATGAGTTCTTTGTCAATATGAATCCAACTAACCCATATTGCAGTGGCATTGCAGGTATAGTTCAACCAACTGCATACATCCTGAAGCTTTGAAATTTCAAATGAACAGGGGAATTATTCAGTATATGTTAACCATCACAACAAATATACTCAGTTTTAATGTTTTACAATTCGATCTTTATTCCTGCTACATGTTTCGGTCGTATAAGACCGTCATCAGACAGTTACATATAGGAATACGTATAGTTATTGAACTACCAGTATGGATCCATACCATTGCATCGTGTCATATTATATACTAACAAAATTTTTTGTCTCAAGTTTATGTTTACAATTAAATAGAAGATACAAAATAAGATAAAAGATAAAATATAGAAAGAATAAATATATTATGGAATATTAAAAACATTAAAAACGTAAGTGAAGTTGGTTGAGGGGTTATGCAACAAGCCGGAAGGTTGTGGGTTCAAGTCCCGATGAAATCATTTGATTTTTTCAGTGGACCTAATCCCTCCAGCTGCACTAGGCCCTGGGGTTTACTCAGCCTCTAACAGAAATGAGTACCAGGAATTAATTAAATTTTCCTGGGGAGTAAAGCGCGGCCGACGCATAAGGCTGACAACATTACTGCCATCTTTGAGCCGATTGTCTACATAGTGTGGGACCCTCAACGTCTCACAATCCTATGGGCCTTCATGGCCTTGTACAGGGATAGCTTTACTTTACTTTAAAAGTATATGACAGGAATGTTTACAAAATATATTTAATATTTTTTAGTATGGTAAGTTAAGATATATGTATGCCAACTTAAATACTAAGGTTCCAATGCTACAGTGTAGAAACTGGGCATGTCTGTCATTTGTAGGTCTTTTTTGTGGAAGCTTTCACATAGTAAGCTCGATTGTGGAGCCCATAGACAAATATCTGTGATATACGGGTTGTTAATGTGTGGTATTTTAGGTATGTAATTTTCACAATATGTATCATATAATCATACAATATGGTGTATGCATTTCTTGTCTGGGCATATATAAGTTCAGTGTGTTCCACACTGTGTGTTGGTTCGATGTGAACTGATTTCAGTGCTTCTCATTAGTCTCTATCATTACAATTATCTGCTAATTGAAAATTAAGGGTTCATTTGTTGCAGTATATCTGTGCCATGTATTTGTAAACCAAAAATCATGTTTGAATTGTCATATGCATAGTTAATATGAAGAGACTGCTTGGGGTCACTGAATGCATGAGAGAACTGCAGTGGAGGTTGAATGTAATGAGTACAGGCTGTAGTTTGTATTTCAATTTCATAAATATTTCTTGATCAACTGTTGATTTAATTATGTGAAGCGTTGCAATATTCATTGTTTTAATTATAGTATTAACCCCCTCCCCCCCAAAGAGCCGCGCCATAGCTCAAGTGGTTAGTCGCTGACTTCCCACCGCAGCGGCCCAGGTTCGATCCCGGGTCTGGTCAAGTGGGATTTGTGGTGGACAAAGTGGCGCTGGGGCAGGTTTTCTGCAAGTACTTCGGTTTCCCCTGCCAATTTTCATTCCACCAATTCACAATAACCCTCTCCTATCATCTGGGGCTGGTACAATAGGCGAGAAGTGGCTGCAGTACAAGGGACTTAGTCCCACCCCACTAGCAATAAAAAAATACCCTCTCCCCCCTCAAAAAATAGCTGTAGTGGGTTCTTTTCTTGTTTTCTAGATTCATTTAAATGAATGTTTGACAGTGTGGCTTAACCACTAATTTCTCTTCATCAGAAGTCATTTGAACTCTTCTGGCAGCACAGCATTGTCACATCTTAACTCGTTAGGGGCATAGATGGAGGCAGAGATAGTAAACACGCCATCACCGACATTCTCAGTACGTGTGTGTGATGCGCAGTGAAGTGAAACAGTCTTCTGCATTAATTGTTTCTTGCTTCCTGTTGTGTATTTAATTAATATTAGAGTCAGTTTTACCGACCACACAACATAATAATATTAAAATAATATTTTAACTTGTGTTTTGTGAGAGGAACTTGATATATTATTGAGGGTGGGCCTGAATAAGATACAGGATCGAATAAGTGAAAAGACAAATGTCATTGCGTGTAATTATACAGCTGTGTTTGTACACCTGAGGATGACCTTTTGAGATCGAAACATGTAGTGTAATAATAATAAAAATATGTTGTGTGGTCGGTAAAATTGACTCTAATATTAATTAGTCTTCTGCATGCCTTGGTGTGGAGATTATCTCCTAATGGTAATATTGCACTTCACATATAGGAATTATACTGTCTGCACATGGAGAGGTACTCTCACCATATTGTTACTTCTCACTTTCTCCTCTAAACCACTATTTACACAGGTCTCTTCATGGGGCAAGCCTTGGAGCTTACACAAGATGACTTGGTGGGCATCACACACACAGCCATGGGATAGGCAGCTGTCATGCTTGCATGTGAATGAAACCAAGCAGAGACCATTCGTTTAGTTTGAACAAAGTCTGAACTGAAAAGACGTTGTACTTATATTTTCTCATATACAATTGACCATGACTGTGTTACCTTGGAAGTGAAATTGGTCCTTGCTTGTTAGACTGCTTTTGGTTTCTGACTACCAAACAACAGTGAAATCTCTCTGACTTCTAAAAGCTACTTTCAAGAAAATTTGAATTTTGCATTTGGGCCCCTAGCATGCATACCATTACTTTCCTGAAGATACCACCAATGCAGTTTTATTTAGGGATATGGGGCACATAAACTACTGAAACTTAATCAGATTCTCTAGAACCACTGAAGGCAACAAACACTGAGAACTGATGAAAAAACTGTGTAAGTACACAAGAACCTTGGCACATGTGGGATGCACAGCCCCACCATTTCCTTTTGTTTTATTCTCAGGAGTGCTAGAAGCTTACCGGAACTGCATCCATCAGGTACAACTCTATGGACCCACCAACTTCTCTCCTGTTATAAACCATGTCTCTCGGTTTGCCAGCACATACAGAGATGGTTCAAGTTACTTCATTCTCCTCATCCTCACAGATGGCATCATCACTGACATGCCACAGACTATACAGGTAATGGCACAGTGCTGAAGCTGTCTTATAATTGACCCCACTGTCCTAGCATGCAGTTTTAGTAGATTTATTGTTCACACTCTTCTGATGCACTGTTGAATTCAGGAGGAGGTGATGCCAAAATGTTCAAAGCTGTAAAATAGAGATTTTTTAGAATGCCTTTTCAGTTTGATACCAAAAAAAGAAAAAGCAAAGGAGAGGATGGAAAAGTTTTGAGAACTGAAATGAGGACAAGAAGTTTCTCTGCATGCAAATATTTTCATTGTAATGACAATTTATAATACTGGGAACTTTTTCATTACCCTCTAGTGTACATCTCTATTTAGCCAGAGGGACATTGTTCCTGTGGGGGCTATTTGGAAAGTAACCTCTGTTTATTTTAGGCATCTAATGTAGGAGTGAGGGAGAGCTCACACATGCAAGGTAGTGTCACATGGCTCATTGCCTAGTAAACCATCACATAACTGGTCACCCAGTGTTTGTTCTTGTCTCTATGGAATGAATTATGATGTGCCCTGCAACTGATAATCCCTCCAGCTGCAAAATTCGCACTGTCAACAAATTTCTTCATGCTAAATGCATGAGTACTGCCAAAATACAACGTGAATTATGCACAATTTACAACCAAAATTTAATGAGTGAAGGAACTATGAGACAGTGGTGTAGAATGTTTAAAGATGGGCAGACAAATGTTCATGATGAAGAAGGAAGTGGTTGGCCATCTGTAGTGAGTGATGATCTTTTTCAGAGTGAAAGATAGCACTTCACAATTTCAGAACTTGCGTGAATTTCCACAAATTTCACTCAGTGTTCTCTACAAGGGTATAACAGGCTAGGCTATCGCAAGTTTTGTGCAAGATGGGTTCTGAAAATGCTCACAGGTGTGCACAAAATGCAGAGACTGTCGTTGGCTTTGACTTTTTTGAGTGTTACCACAAAGATCGTGATGAATTTCTCAATCATATCATACTAGTAACAAGTGATGAAACCTGGGTTTTATTTGTGAATGTTGAAACCAAAAAGCAGTCATCATTCACCAAACAAGCTGAAAATGTTTAAACAAACAATGTCTGTCAGAAAGCTGATGGAAAGTGTTTTCTTGGACAGGAAATGAGTGCTGATGGTGGAATTCATGCAACAAGGCACCACAGTAATGTCAGAAGTGTATTGTGAAACACTAAAAGAAAACTGCCTAGGGCCATTCAGAACAAAAGGTGTGGAATGCTGACATCCAGTGTGGTGATATTCTATGACATTGTGAATCCACACAAACAGCTGCTTGTACTTGAGCACTGCTGGAGTATTTCAGTTTAGAGTTTTTTGACCACCCTCCTTACAACCCTGATTGCACTCTGAGTGACTATCTACCTACCTACCTACCTACTTGCCTGCCTATCTATCTGAAAAACTGCTCGGGATTACAGCACTTCTGCAGCAATGAGGAGCTGATGGAAGGTGTCAAAATGTGGCTGAGCTCACAGGCAGTAGACTTTTCGGACACAGATATATAAAAACAAGTTCCTCAATTCCAGTGATGACTACATTGCGAAGCAACCTAAGTATATATGCGTTTTTCTTTTAAAATAACATTTTTTTCTCGTTTCTTGTTTTGTTAACAGCTCATCAGAGGTTACTTTCCAAATGGCTCTCCTATATATGACCCCCCCACCAGGAAACATATCTACACAGAGAATGTAATTTTGTTAATAAAGTTCACACTCTTACTACAAGGAAGAGTCAGTAAATAGGTAACAAAGAGGTTGAAACAGGTGCCGAAGAGTCTTGAGACAGCAGTCAAAAGACGTCTGTACCGTGGATTTTCAACCCACAGATAAAGCAATGGGACAAGTGTATCAGTGTTGATGGAGGATATGGCAAGAAATAAATGTTTTGTTCAGGTTCGAATATCACATGTTTTACGTTATATATCCATTTGTGACCTATTTACAGACTCTCCCTCTTGCAGATATTAGAAGACATGGTATGTGTGACATCTGTTGAGTTGAATTTCCTTCTTCAGTTCACCAGCCTGTCTCATTCTCTTTGCTTTTCCTATTGCATGGCTCGGCTTCAGTCTCTCATGTTCATTGCCAACAATTACAGTTGCTTCCTCAACCTCCCATCAGGCACAAGGAACTGCAGGAGAGATCTGTTTCCATGATGTCTTCATCCATGGCACAGCAGTTCTACACAAGACTTTTTTATTATCCGAGTTGGTGTCAGAACACGGTTGCTGCAAATGAGCCTTGAGAGGCTTATTCACTAGAACATGTAGTTATGAGGCCCTCCTCCATGTATGACCACAGTGTTTGAATTCACTGCTGGAACCATAGACTTAATCATCATCATTCATGGAACTGAGCCCTTCTTGAGAAGCTGCCAATTGCGCACATACTCAAAAATTTCCCACCATTTTGTGGAACCCAAAAGTTGAGTACCGTATTCACAAGAGCCCGCCACTGGCCCCTATCCTTAGCCAGATCGATCCACTCCATACCAGTCCATCCTGTCTCTCTCAGAGCCATTTAAATATTGTCCACCCATCTACATCTTGGTCTTCCTGGTAGTCTTTTTCTTCTTCTTGCTTTCCCATCAATATCCTATATGCATTCCTCTTCACCATTTGTGCTACATTTGCTGCCCATCTCATCCTCCTTCACTTAAGCATTCTAATTATACTTGGAGAAGAGTACAAGTTATGAAGCTGTGGGAGGTTCCCACAGTGTAATTGGATGGCATATTGAAGTGTTGTAGTGATTCAGTGGCTTTGCCACAAAGTGTGATGATAACTTGTTGCAAAGTGAAGCTCTTCACTATAAAGAAACCTCTTCCTGAACCTAATTTCTGCTGCTCATTGAGTAATAATATTTTACAGATTGTGCCTTTGATTCTGTACAAATGACAACATTCAGCTAGAATTGGCATAGGTCATGTTTATGTTGTTTCCACCTTTGGATGTTTGCTGCAGAAGACACTGTTTTCTTCATGCTACACAGTTATTTGTTTGTTCTGCACATTTAATATCCGAAATTAAAGCATGAATAATACCTGCACTAGTCCTTCTGTTTTGACATGATCTGCTGTTTTTACAGTGAAAGATGATAGCACAGAATCTTGTGCTATAAATTGATGTTATATTTTCTGATTTAGTTGCTACTTCTGGCAACCTCATCCCTATGGCAGGTTGTGGCTTCTGACCTTCGAGCATACTACTATAATTCATTTTCTAACTTGCTACTCTTGTAGCAGAGTAGTGCAAGTTTTGACTTGATGCTGAAAGCTTAAAATGGGTTAAGAAGCTCTTCTATACAGGCTGTACACATGAAATATATATTATTTTAAACATTTATCACAAACTGAAAGGCACAGGAATGAAAACTAAATGCATTTGAATAGATTATATTGTCACGTGTAGGGTGGTACGTGTGACGAGAATGACAGGTTCTAGTTTGGATGATTTGATTTATTAGCACCTTGGTTACACACTCTCTCTTAATCAGTTAATACAGGCAATACAGCACTATCACTGATTTACAGACTTTCCAGTTCACCATTGCACATGCAGTAGGATTCTCTGTTTCCACTAATCGTCTCCTAGCAACGGATATCGATAGAGAAACTGTCACTTCAAATCACTATGAAGTCTTCTTGTTATTTCATCTTTGGTCACTCTGTACTCCTCTGTCTTAATCTGTACTCAATTAATCTTCACAATTCACACCCCATTCTTGTCCTTGTACTCTCAACTGTTGAACCCACCTGGATTCTCCACTTCGCTCTGTTCAGGTGATTACACCACTGCCATTTCTCTCTTTCTACGGATTCTCCACTTCGCTCTGTTTGAGTGATTACACCACTGCCATTTCTCTCTCTTTCTACGGATTCTCCACTTCGCTCTGTTTGAGTGATTACACCACTGCCATTTCTCTCTCTTTCTACGGATTCTCCACTTCGCTCTGTTTGAGTGATTACACCACTGCCATTTCTCTCTCTTTCTACGGATTCTCCACTTCGCTCTGTTTGAGTGATTACACCACTGCCATTTCTCTCTCTTTCTACGGATTCTCCACTTCGCTCTGTTTGAGTGATTACACCACTACCATTTCTCTCATACGGATTCTCCACTTCGCTCTGTTCGGGTGATTACACCACTGCCATTTCTCTCTTTCTACGATGAATTCAGAACTCTGTCACTCACTTATATAGCAGAGGGACCAGCATCGACCAACAGTAAACATATCACATGATTCTACCCACTGTTGCTGCATGATATCACCACACATGTCCTGCTGATGGACATGTAGGAAACACATCACATGATGGCCACCTACTGTTGATGTGTGACATCACCTTCCCTGTGCCAGCTACTGGACACACAGAAAACACAGTTTGCTCTTCTGTTGCACGTGCATATCGTGTTTACAGAACTGTTGCCCAGCAGTGCGTTTATGAAATATGCTACAATATGATCTAGGTTTTAATTCATACCACTTGAATTTCCAGATCTTCCCACCAGAATTGCTGCATCTCAAGTAGGGGACAGTAAAGATGTGCTGAGGTTTCACAGTCTAGGTCTAGTGTTTGGAAGGGAGCCACCACCATAAATATCTGTACATTTCCACAAGAAAATGGAGTTCCCAGAGGAATGTATTGGCAGGCAGGCCTATCATTTGCCTCATCTTATTACCCTTTTCTTTTGGGGGCACATAACAGGTGTTGTGTATGTGCCACTATTAGCTTCAGCTTTGCTTGAGCTTGCTGGGAGGATAAGATCTGCAGTGGCCACAGTTATCTTCAACATGCCTAGCAATGTCTGTACTGAAACTGAATACAGATATATCTGCCAGGCCACTTGTGGTGCCTCAGTGAACATGTGTAAAATGTAGGTCACAAAAAGTTAATCATATAGCCTGCTCAAATGTATTTACTTTTCATTCCTGTGACTTGTAGTTCATGAGCAATGTTACAGTGGAATTATATGATTTCATATGTACACCTTGATATATTTAGCATTCAGGTTCATGACCATGAGTAGTACAGTAATGCTTAAAAGAGGGTGAGTGACATCTCTTTCATTTCAACAAATGACACCAATCCCTTTTGAAATCAGACCAGCATGTGCAAAGCAAAAGGAGTTAACAGAGAGACTGAAGAATGAACAAAATCAAGAAATGTTTTTCTTGATTTGATCCTGAAAATTTGAGACTTGGACATCCCAAATAAAATATTAAGTTTTTAGAAACAGTTTTGATTTGTTTTCTTTTTTACGAAGACACCATATTGTAGTCAATTGGTATCTTGTAAATGATTGTTAAATGTCTCTGACATATATTTGTGGATTCCCCAATCACCCACCACAGTATGATAATATCACCCCAAGAAAACTGAAAATCAGTGACTTATATTTCACAGACATGGTTTGTTTGGCCATTTTCATAAACTGCTGCTGTTTGTGATTTATTAAGCCACAAATTTTGTTTTTCTTCCAGTTCATTTTACACCTAACAGTTCATAGAGTGAGATATTCTGTTATGATTCATTCAGTTTCTTGTACAATACATGGGATGTCAGGTTTGTTTGGATATTTTGGCATTTTACTGTAGTAGACATAATGTGGTGAACTCGGTCCTAGAAACACTTCTTTTAGCTGTGAAATTCAATTTAAAAAGCAGATACAAGATATGACATAAAGGAAAAAACTGAATTTGTTTGGTTGAGAAGAAGGACCCATGGCAGGAACTTGAGTGGACGAGAACAGCATTTAAGTACATAAGGATGTGAATGTCTTGATACTGTGTATATGTTAGCTTCCTAAGGACGACTCCTGCTTTGTGGAATTGGTTAGGATGGCTGAACTCTCAAGTCTTGTCAGGGATATTACCTGTCCCTCGTGAGCTTTCCTGTGGCTTTCTTGATCCTTTGAACTTTTAATTTCTTCACATGTTGTGAAATATATGTTGAATGTTGTGTTCCATGAGACGACCTTCCTGCCTTCCATCGTATTCAGGTTACCATCTCCGCTAATCATCCAGGCTCATTTGATTCTAAATAATGTACATTTGCTGCAACATTTTCAAGTAGCCCATGACTGAAGAAACATGTTTAACATCCTGTAATTTTCCTTAACAGGCTATAGTGTCAGCCTCTGTGCTCCCCATGTCCATCATCATTGTGGGGATTGGAACTGCTGACTTTACTGCTATGGAAGTGCTGGATGCAGACACAGTACCTTTGAAAGCAGGTGGTGTGCATGCCAGCCGCGACATTGTGCAATTTGTTCCATTCAACAGATTTGTAACCATGGGAGATCCTTCCATGGCTAGAATCAGGTTAGCCCGAGAGGTGCTGGCAGAAATACCCACTCAGTTCACTGGCTACATGAAAGCAAACAACATTGCACCCAGACCTCCACAAGAGAATGTATCTGTCCTTCCACCTGATCCTATGTTCGCTCATACAACAATTTAAATTACACCTGCCTGATGTTACGTGGTTCAGTTCGACAACATGAACAGAATGCACCTGGCCTATTGGTTAGTCAGTGTTATATAAGCAAATCTAAATTAGTGAATAAGTTTGCCTGTCTTTAAAGAAATTATATTTGTTCACTGCAAGGTGCAGTAGCAGGCATAGTACTTTGCTATCAAATGATTCAACCAAGAGTTAATTTTTTTATATGAGCCTGTGAGCCTGCACATGCAGTTGAAAGTTTAAAGCCCAGTTTATCAAAACTGCTATGAGGTATGTGCAGCATTTTCTTAAGCTTGGTCAGCTTTTAGGTGGTATGTATGTGAGTGATCTAAAGCACCAGTCTGTCTCATTGGTTGACATACAAAGCTTACAGTACTCTATCTATTGTATGCTGTGGTCCTTGTATGCAGCATGCAGAGAAATACTGTGTTTATTTGTATATAGTAGTAGCACTGTGGCTATATCACATTAACCTGAATCTAAGGCAATCATATGCATAGAATTGAAAAGTAAAATATATTATTTTTCGAACAGGATTATACAACAATATATTTCCCTTGCTAAAGCCATATTTTATGGCAACTGAATGGTTGTTTATTTAGTGTAATTTCAAACATTACTTTAACATTTATGTAGAGAATTCTGGAAGCATTTCCCTCTAGTTGAAATTGCTGAATGAACAGAAGCACCTATGGAGATGTAAGGCTGCTCATTCAGAAGGTGGCAGTACCTTGATAAGTTACCAAATAAATAAATAAACACATGCTAAAAGATAAAACAGAGAGACCGGAATCGCGAGGGAAAAAAATACAATTTTACTGGATCCCAGGGCACTGCAGAGTGGAAGTTAATGAGAGGGCCGACTTGGAGGCAAAGCAAGCAGTCAAAGAAGGTAGAGATAGTCAATTACTGTTACCAGTAGCAGATCTTAAAACCCAGTGGAAAAAGAAAGGCAAGGAAGAACTTAACAGTTTTTGTGAAAACACCAAACGGGACAGAGGAGAAAGCTACTTTGAAAGGTACTACAGGAAAGGCTCGTCTCCATGGTTTCGACAGATAAAAAGGAACTGCCACACCTTCATGTCAGTAAACTGTATGAGAGCCGGACACACCAGTCTTAAAGCAAGCCTAAACAGATTTAACATTGTGTCCACCGCCGAATGTGAATGTGGTAACAGTGGCGGGGCTACCGCTATTATAGAATAAGATGTTTATTAGAATGTGCTACAGAATGCCAGATGGGCATTGCATAGGCTTCTTTTGTATTTTTTTTCTTACAATTAAGAAAATATATCAGGATTGCTGTGTCAGCCTTTCAACTCAGATCACAATTATACAGTTTCTAGCCAAGATCTACGACATATAGTTGATAGGTGTTCCCATTAATTAGACAGTAAAAGTTGTTCCATTATATGAGTATTTGCTTGTGTAGTCACATCTGTGGTCTATTTTGAAAGCCACAATTTGTTAAGCACATGGTTCCCTCACAAAATCTTTACCTTCTAACAAAACACATTTTTATCATGTCCTTTCAGGGGAGAAGTGAACTGCAAGTGTGATTCTGTGTGTGTTACTCTGTTGTTCTTAGCTGTTTGTTCAGATGTTTATGAATTTTAATGTTGACTTGTCCTATCACAGCAGTCTGTATAGTTGTGTGTTGTTTGATTGTCTTATTATTTCATTGCTACTTTGCAGACAATGTCAAAGAAATGATTATTTTTTGATTTCATGAAATTAAGGTCAGTGTTACAGAAATTCTATCAACACTGCTTTTGAAAGAAAGAAAAATGACACTCACAAGGGGGTCTCTCTATTGCTCAAGTAAAAAGTCTGTTAGTTTGTACTCTGAAATGAGTTGAATTCTGAACAAACTAAACATATAAATACATATATGTATAGTATATGGGAAAGAAGTTAGTTCAGTCAAGTGCCATACTTTTTCATGTAACAGTATATATTCTGTGTTGTTGTGTTTGTCCCCTTATAGAACTTCCATATTTCCTTCCTTTTTAAGGAATGACCATGTAGGGTTTCCAGCCTATGATGTGTTACTGGCTTCACTAAACTTCACTCATATAAAATGCCAGTATGCACATTTCTGTTTGCACTAGTTGTTTACTTACATGACCTGATCCTGTTCCACCATTAACAACCATTCTAAAATGGAGACAGTAATATCTCTATAAGGTAACTGTAAGATCTCTTCATAGTCATTGCCGTGAGAAATTCAAATCCATCAATCTGAATGAAGTTTACACAGTTGTGAACAAGTTCCATATCATGGTCACAGCGGTATGTATCTTTTGCTGAAATATTACTTCTAATCTGCTCTCTTTGTTACATCTTGAGTACCTGTACCTTTCTTTGAAGAAAGATTTTACTGTACAAAACTAAATCTTTTAGTTATAATTTTCAATGTTACTGGAATCTAAAATGTAAACATTCCACTTAACTTTGTAATTTCCACGTTGCTTCTTAATCTAATCCGTAGAAACCCAAATAACCTCTTTTTTTTTNAAGTTTCTTCTTCATGTTCCTGTTTATTCCAGCCCAATTCTGGTACATTTGTAAAGGTTATAAAGTGCACAACAGTGTCAGCAATACTGTCATCTTTAGATAGAAACTGATGCACATAACTTTTGTATTCAGAGGCCTCTGGTATCACACCAGGTGCAGGGGAAAACATGTCAGGTTTTATAAATTTGGAGTAGATAGGATACCTTACACATTTTATGTCTAATGACTTATTCCTTTCCCATTTATCTTCATAATTTAATTTGTCAAAAAACTGAAACATTTACAGTTAATAAATATAAACCATTACTGATAAGTACAGTGAGATAACTTTCAACAGGAGTAATACAGTTTTGAACGTGACAGAACTGTAATTAATTTTTGGTAAATTTTTGTATCATGTAACACAGACTTTACTATTCTGATCATACTGGATCATGAGGCTGATGTGCTGTGCTTCATAATGAAGTGAGATATACGGGTCACTAAGTTTAAACATTAATACAATTCTGCTTCCTCTGGCACAAAATATGTCAGTTTAATTTGAACTGTACGTGTAGTTATACCTTTATTTTTATCATATATGTTGGAGCCAGTGGATGATGTTAGGTTGATTTCTGTTCTTGCCAGCATTTCTTAAGGTGCCAAGTCTGCAGTCATCCTGACAGCAGGAGTCATGAGCTGTGAAGATTATAGAAGTAGCAGAGCATTTTCTCAAAATACCTTGAACTGATTGTTGTGATTTCTGACCATGTATTCATTCTGACAAGATGTGTATAAAACAGATGTTAGGATTTATTTTCAGTGTTTCATTATTTGACCTGCCCCTCAGGCTGCTACTTTGCATATTTATTCCTTGGTGAAATGCTTAAAATCCTGCGTCAGTGATCTTCATGTGATGTTGGAAGGTGCTGCAAACTTGGCTATCTCCTGTGCAGTTGGTGTGAGGGCTACTGCGTTCTAGCCATGTGCTGGGCAGCCTGTGGTTACTATATAGTTATACATTGAAAATTCTTTATTATAAGACATGTATAAACAATATTTAACAAATATATTTTGAAATTGTATGTAATTTAATTGGATAAATTATATTTCTGGTAGTACTGAACTCATAAACTTCTCTTGGATAATATAAAACTTCCTTTGTAAATTATTTGATAAAATCTGTGCACAAATATTTCGTAATTCTGTTCATTATGTAAATTTTTGCCTCTAATTTTAAGCAGTTTTGTGTATGGCTGCAGAACACATTATCTTACTTTGAGAGAACATTAATTGGAAGTGTTTGGAGGGGGTGGTAGAAAAATATTTGGACCAAAGAAGGATGAAGTAAATGACCAGTTCCAGATATTATATACATAATAAGGAGCTTCAAAATTTTCACAGGCTATGTAATATTTATTTATTCATGGCTTATTGTGCTGACACTGTCAGTAACTGAGATCAGATAGTGCTGAAGCCATCTTAGTATTATTACAGTAATGAAATCTAGGAGGCTGCAGTGGCCTGGGCACATTGGTACAATGAGGAGTGAAGGAATGGTACAGATTGTGAAGAAACCCTTTTGAAAAACCGCCACTTGGAAGACCAAGGAAATGGGTGAATAAGATGGGAAGTGGACAGAACTGGCACATGATGAACTTTCAAGTTCTGCTGCCGGTGTTAATTTAAAGCAGAAAATGTATTTTTGTAACATTTAGCACAATTCATGTGTTAATATGTCACTTTTTTTATCACTGGCTTTCAGATGTTATCACTTTATCTTTCTTTCCACATATGACATGGCTGGCAGATACTGTTAACTGAGGAACTGAGTCAAGATTTGCCTTGGTATTTGATGATAAAATTAAATTGTATATACAGTAAAATAAAATATTATGTTACTTATTGAAGTTTAAAATCATGTTAGGTGGGTCATTTGTCACCACAGCATGGCGTTTCCTCAGGTTGCAGATGGAGGAGACTGCCTCCAGGAATAGAGGATGGCTGTGAATATATTGAAGAAGCAGTCGCTGACAGCCAACAAGGGGTGGTCCTCCAAATTTGGTGTTGGGTGTGGGGCTAACTGTAAAAATTAGGCCTCTTATGAAAGATTACAAGAAACCTCAGACCTGGATGAATTCCTTGAATAAATGACCTAAGTGAAAGAAAACCGATATGAGTTTGGTACTTGGAATGTTACAAGTATGTATAGGGCAGGTTCACTTAGGGCATTGGTGGAGGAAATCTCAAAATATAAGTTAGACTTGATGGGTGTAGAGGAGGTCAGATGGGATGGTGGTGGCAGCCAAATTTACAGTTTTCTATGGAAAGGGGAATGAGAATCAGGAATTAGGTACAGGTTTTTTCATACATAAGAGAATCGTATCAGCAGTTAAGAGCACAGAGTTTGTTAGTGATAGGATGTCATACATAATACTAAGAGGCTGCTGGTGTGATAGCATCATTTTGAATGTTCATGCCCCAAAAGAAGATAAAATTGATGACATGAAGGACAGGTTCTGTGAGGAACCAGAACATGTATTTGGTAAATTCCCGAAGTACCCTATGAAAATTTTGTTAGGAGAGTTCAATGCCACAGAAGGTAGGGAAAACATTTCAAATCAGCAGTTGGGAATGACAGTTTACACAAAATTAGTAATGATAATGGAGTTAGGTAGTAAACTTTGCCACATTTAAAAATCTTATTGTCAAAAGTACAATGTTCCCACATCACAACATTCATAAATTTACTTGGACATCTCCTGATAGGAAGAAGCACAACCAAACTAACCATATTTTGATAGACAGGAGCTGGCATTCAAGTATATTTGATGTCTGACTGTTCAGGGCAGAAAACTGCTACACTGGCTGCTATCTGGTGGTGGCAAAAGTCAGGGAAAGACTGGCAGTGAGCAAACAAACAACACACAGTTCATATGGAGAGGTTCCATCTCAAGAAATGAAATGAGTTAGAGGGTAAGGAGATGGATTGAAATCACAAATAGATTCACAGCTTTGGAAAACTTAGACAATTAGATGGATATTAATAAAGCTTGGGAAACTGTTGTAGAGATTATAAAAATTTCAGCCACATTATAATGAACTGAAGAAACATAGGCCATGGTTCGATGAAGGATGCTAAAAATCATTAGACCAAAGAAAACAAGCCAAATTGCCGTGATTACAGGATCCAAGCGAAATAAATGGGTATAATCTGAACAAGTGAAGATGTGAAACCAGGAGGCATTTCAGGAACAGAAAGGGGGAATATCTGAAAGAAAAAATTGATGAGCTTTCAATGAACAGTAAGAACAAGAACATTAAATACCAGTATAATGGAATAAATTACTCTAAGAGGGGTTATGAGTCTAAAAGTAACTTAATGAGGGATTAAAATGGTGATCTTGCAGTTTCTACAACATTTTGAATAAGTGGAAGAAATACTTCTCTCAGTTACAGAATGTACATAGGGTCAGTTATGTTATGCAGATAGAGATACATACAGCTGAGCCGTTAATATCTGATCATAGCCCTTTGGAGGTTGAAATTGCTATTGCAAAATTTGAAAGGTATAAATTGCCAGATGATGATCAAATTCTGGAAGAACTTATTCAAGCAGTGGGTGAAATATTATGTTCTAAGTTCTATAAGCTAATTAATTCTGTTCAAAATAAGAAAGAATTGCCTGATCAATGGAAGGAGTCTAT